TTTGAGGGAAGGGAGGGCATGATGGGCACTGGAGCAAAGAAGGATACAATGCTAAAAATATACCTAAAATATATCAAATTAATTGGAGATTTGGCCCAATTATTCCTCTGCTTTGTCTTTAGTTTTAATCCCAACATATGTGCATATAAATTTTTGTTCTACTTTAATTTGATATTATTTCATTAAACATATATATGAGTCTTATGCTTATTGTTAAAGTACATTTTATTATATGTACTGTCAGGTGCTGCTTAAGAGCTAGGATGATTTCTGAGAAATTTTTCTTTCGGTGATATTGTCATTGTGCAAATATTACTACTTCTACAAACATACATGAAATAGGTGCTGCATACCTTGTCTATATGAGGGATGCATGTGCATGATAAACAATACCAGATTAAGTCAAGTACAAGAGAAAATTAACCTAACACAGTTGTTTATTATCATTGTCAAGTATCACATTAAGGTCCATAATTATATATGCAATCTTTTATGTGAATGACAGCATTTTAGGTTGTTTCTTACACCAGCATGAGCAAAATGCCTAATGCATTATGGTCTAACCTCAAGATGGCTGTAACATTACAAGTTGGCAGGAACTGGTCAGTTAGATTATAATCTAATGGGACCACCACCTTATGTATGGTCCATCAGTGCCCAAAATGTTGTTAAGCAGGGCATGACCGTACCTAAACTGTGTAACACAAAGTTATAGAGCAAGTAGAGAGAAAAATGGCTATACCATAGTGCAGCAAATTGACTTATCCATCATCTCACACAGTTATACTGTTTTGCATGTGTAGCAAGAGAGTTAAAATTATTCAACTCACAGGAACCTCTAATACTATGAAGTATTATTACACACAGTCCTCCTATTGTACATTAGAATTTGACTTATTCATTCTACTTCTCTGCTAGTTTGAGTATGTATCTGCTACTCTGAATGGCCCAGTCCTGATTTGGGTTAAACTCTGTAAAATTTAGCATAGTGAAAAAACAGTTTACAGAGAGTCAGAAAACTGTGTTCTAGATGTGAACTAACCCACTACCACATGCCTGAAACTCTCAAGCCCTCAGTCCTTCTATTCTTTAAGTAAAGATGAGAACGATTTCCTGTGTATCTGTTTCCTACTCAGTTATCACACTTGGATAAAATTAGGTAGAATACTTAATAGTATTGTAATCATATATTTTACATATAGAATAAAAATATTGCATATAATATTTGACTATATTTATCTAGAGATCAAGTATATATAAATTTGAGTCCTAGTATTGTTCATACTTTCTCTGGATATAACATTCAAGAAAAAAAACCTGGGCTGGGGATTTAGCTCAGTGGCAAAAGCGCCTGCCTGGCAAGCGCAAGGTCGTGAGTTCGGTTCCCGGAGAAAAACAAACAAACAAACAAAAAAAAAAAAAAAAAAAAAGAAAAAAAAACAATATTTTAACAGACTTATTTTTTCCTAATAGTGATTTTTTTCCTCTTATTTCCCTTATGACCAGGCAAAAATTATTTCACCGGGTCTCGGGTTTTCAATCTGTGAAATGGAGACACTGTGTCTCAGATAGTAGTCAGAAGTAAATTTGGGCATGAAATATATGCAGCCTTTAGCTGCCCTTATTGTATGCTTTTCAAATGTTTCCCTTCCCCTGCAAAAAAACATAGGGCCAGGCCATAGCTCAGTGGCACAGCACCTGCCTGGCAATGTGAAATGTTGAGCTTGATTCTTGGCACCAAAGAATAAATAAATGTAAATAGTAAATAATAAATAAATAAATAAATAAATATCTCTCTAGACAGCATCCAGTTTAAGCGTGTGCATTATATGTACTCAATAAACTTGACTGGTTTGTTATTTCTGATAAAGTACATTTATTCACTAGCATGTTTAATATTATGGGGATTCCTATTTCAGTAAAATAGCAAATTTTTTCACAATTTCCTACTTTACTAGTCAGACATGGATTTTAAAAAGATGATTTTTTAGTAAGCATAGATCACTGAGATTTTTCTCTTTTGAAAATTATGGTTAGAGTAAAGTCAGATTTCCATCCATGATCAAGGCTGACTCATATCTGCCTTCAAGACTAATATCACAAGAGAGGGAAGCATTCCCCTTCGCTTTTGCAGAAGAGGGGCCTCTCCTAAAAATCTCTAAACTGAACTTGGACAACCAGTGGAATTTCTTTTACTGATCCAGAACTTCCTCTATATGAAAAATGGCTTTTTAAAAATTTTTACACTATTTGAAGGCAAACATTTTAATCTTTGAGAAAATGTTTATATTGCATGCAGTGCTTGAATATTTATATACTGACAACACTAGATAAATCATGCAGATGGGGAGTCCAAGATCAAGATGCGATTCCATTGTTGTGATTCCAAAGTCTAGGCCTAAGCATCTGCATTTTCCAGGTGTTGAACTGCAGTGCAAATAATACTCTCTGGAGTACCATTCAAGTGTGTCATTTACACAGTACAACTGAATTCTTAATAGTACATAGCATAACTTTATTCTTAATCTTCTCTGTAGGCAAACTGGTTACCCTAATCTTTATCCCACTGAACAAGTTTTCTTCAAGTATTTAATGATGAGCTATCTTTTCTTATAATTGTGTAGGTAAAAGCAATGCAGGCCTCTCCTCCAGCCACTGTATTGTTGAAAATTTCTAGTTATTAGAATGATAGCAATGAACAGCCAGCAGTAATAATACTGAAGGGAAGTCAAAACAAAGGATATACTACTACTGTCCCAATATCATAATACAATCGTATACTGCTGGAGGACGTTCCAGTATAATATTCTACTCTCCAAGGTCTGCGTCCATAGAATAAAATGTAGTCACTCTATTCCCACATACCCATATCCTGGACAAACATGGAAACACCAAGCCAGCAAGCAAACAGAGCACAGGGGCCTGGCCCATGGCAGCATCTCCTTCCCCTTACTGGAGACTGAGGCAGGTTCTGTTGTTGAGTCTCTTGCCTTTTTCTTAAATCTGCTCTTCACTCTTATCAGATTTTACTCTCATATTGCTTCTTCCTCATTGAATTTTGCTGCCTATATTCTTCTAAAGCGTAGCTTTATTAATTTATTTTAAGGAAAAGTAAAACAAAAATTTATAACAAACTCATAGGAGAATAATAATAGTTAGTGCATTGTGTATTGCTATCTTTAAAGCAGTACTCAGAGTACAAGATAGGAGCACACAAAATTCTTCAGTTGATATCTGTGCGAACCTTTCTTTTCAATACATTAAGAAACAAGGCTTTATTTATTTAGATTTCTTTGTTCTTCTTCCTTCCTTTCTCCCTCTCCAAACCCTCACCTATTTTGATTCTTCCCTCTTATGCCATTATATTTAAAGTAAAAGAGAAATCTTCTTTGCTGTTATTGTTTAAAGAACTCATTCAAACAGTTGCACAATATTTCATTTCATATTTCTTTCCTAGGATGGTAACTTTTCTCGCTTAAACAAATACTTAACTACTGGTTACATACAGTTCTTTTTTGGGGGGTACTGGGAATCAAACGCAGGACCTCGCTCTTGCCAGGCTTATGCCCCTCAGCTATATCCCCAGCCCTGGTTTCATCCAGTTCTAACCATATTTTCCTCTGTTTCTGGTAATTCATTTTTTATGTAGATAAGGAACATTGGTTTCTTAGTGTTATGTTGGTGGTTGTTTGCTTTCTTACTGCTTCATCTTCAATGTTACTAAAGTCATTATCTCTCCCCACTTTCTGTCATGTTCTACATTCTTCTCCTTTAGGAACCATCACCAAAGATATTAGCTATTTGATTTATGCTGTCAAGAATATTACCCTTGCGAGGCACGGTGTTGTGTGCCTGTAATCCCAGCATTTGGGAGGCTGATGCAGGAGGATTGCCACACGTTAGAGGCCAGTAGGAGTTTACAAAATAGGTTCAAGGGAAGCCTGAATTATACAGCAAGATTCTGTCTTTAAAAAATGAAAAAAATATACGTTGTGCTCAACTTTGAATCTTTTAGTCAAGCACCAGACCATTGAATTCCTTTGACACTATTTATCTAGACTAATTCTATCATTACTTTTGTCTTTTAGCAGCTCCAAACATATATCCCCAGTGGGGATTTTTTTAATCCTTATACACAAAACTATCTGTAGCTCTTTATGTTCTAGTGATATTCATAAGTCAAAACTATTCTACATTTCTCTCATCTCAAACACTACTATATATCTCTTTTTATAACTTGCTATATTTGGATTTCAAAGTCCACAAGAAACCAAATTGTGGACGATGTCTCTCCTTTAGGTATCAAACTGCATGTACCAGACATCACCTTCATTTTCTTACTACATTCATTTTTTTCTTCTGGCTTTTTTTCCTTTAATTTAGTTAACCACAATGCATGGTTTGATCACCCTATATGCAGTAATCACCACGGCATGGGTCCGGTGGTGAATGCCATTCTGTAAAACACTGTCACTTTCAGAAAACAACTTTCCTCTTGGCATTCAAAATACATACATGCTATGTCAGACACAGACAAGGAGAAAGAAACAGGAAGCTCCTAATCAAAGAAACAAACAAAACAATCAGCAGTGAGAGTCTTGTGTGTGTGTATTTATGTATTAAAAAGTATTTATAGCACTTCTTTCTTTATATGTATACTTTTAATAATAGGAATACATTTTCCCCATACAATATCTAGTTACTAAATATCATGCTTTAAAAAAAAAACAACATTTCAATTAAGAGCAAATATTACACAGGATGAGACAAGAAAGGTGAATTACCCTCTGAGAGCACTGTGTGTCATGAATTCCTGTCTGAATTCTCCTGTCTTATCAGCATCCCTTTAACAGTCTTTATACTTTCAAACATCCTGCCAGACACTCTGTGTTTAAGTGCCGCTCTAGCTGCTAACAGCATCAGCATTATCATTTTTCCCCCACTCTACAGAGTTGCCTCTAAAGATGTCCCTTTTCCCAGCATGTGGGGTTGAAACTTACCGCTTTTACCAACTCCCCCTGCTCCCAGCATTACCACCTTGTACTCTCTGGACCCGCCTGATGCGCTGCCTGGGGAGCAGCTGGCTTCATTTTCCACCTCCATTTTACCCGAAAGACCGGAGGAGAAAAAAGAAGAAAAAAGTCACCCGTGTCAGGTGCTTGCTCAGATATTAAACAACTCTAAAACTGTGTCAAAGGAAAGGTTTAGTATGAAGTAAGAACCATCAGCGTCGGGCTGGCTGCTGGTCCTGTGCTGGAGCGGGTCTCATAGCAACCACTTCAATTGCTTCCAATAAAAATCTGGCTTGTACATCCCCCCTCCTTCTGATCCTTCACTCTTTCACGTCTCCCACGATCTCTTTCTCTTGCTTGCTCTGTGTGCATTTCTTTCTTCCCTCTTCTGCCTCTCCGTTTCCCTTCCTCATTTTCTCTCTGTCTTCCTATTTCCTGCCCACCCCTGCACAGCGCTGTTGTCTGATGCACACACGTTTGACTACTTTCCAGGCTGAGCTGTCAGAATAGCGTGAACCACAGCCTTAATGGAAGATGCTGTCTTACAGGCTGACTTCTTCAGCTACAGCTTCATACACTATTTTTTTTTAAAAAATTAGTCAATTAATCATGTGGAATTTCTGCTACTTATTTCCTTGCATTTTATCAATATTCTCCTGTACAGTTTCACTTCTAGGAAAAGGGACATTATCATTTTATGCAAAAACAAACAAAAACATAACAAAACGGTAACTGTGGGCATTTATGGATGAGACTTTGGTGTCACTGAAACAGTACCTGGCTAACAGGAATCTGTTCTGAGGTCTTGTGAGTTGAAGTTCTAACATTGGAAGTAATTGAATTAGGTCATTGTTGTGTTTGAACATGGATCATCCTTGTTTACACTAAGTTATTAACAACAAACTAAAACATAAGGACCCTGTCAGGCATGAGAGAGATACATGGTAAATATTCTTGCTGACAATTACAGTAGAATGAAAGATGACAGAAGACTATCTGTATATATCTATCAAATATACAATGTCCTGCCCTTGTTTTGAATTCTGAAGATTTTAATTCTTTAGTTTCCTCTGGAGAGCATCTGAAACACACAGGTTTTAGGATGTTCTCAGTAATCCCTAACAGTGTTAGTCAGATTCTGTCCTTCTCTCAAAATGATGATAGGCTGTATTATTTATTTCCTGATGGCCACACTTGGACCATGATTCAATGGAGTTCATTTGCATACATACAGCTATCCTATCAAGATTTAAGTCTCTTCTACAAAAGGAAGTATATTTAATCAGTTTCTTATTCCTCTATATTGCATAACCAAATACTGGCTACAGGGTAGGTGTTCAGTATATTATTGCTGGTCCCTGGAAATGTTGAAATTGTCAAGGCCAAGAGGACAGGCTTTGAAGCTAGATTGTTCATGTTCAAGTCTGGGCTCAGCTGCATATCCTTGGAGAGGTTACAGTGCATAATTTTTCTGTGCCTCAATTTCTTTAACAATAAAATGATTCATGAAAACAAAAAATGACTCATTAGTTATTAGCTAATGAAGTTAGATAATATTTATACAGTTCTTAAAACATCATTTGCCAAATTGTAAGTACTATATAGATGTATGAAATTATGATTAATTTATTATTATTTTGAGGCAATGTTACAATTAGTCTACACTCAAAAAAATTCACCAGAGAAGACTTCTCATGTTTATTCCCCCCGTATGTCTTCTCTGATAATGTATCTGCTCAACTGTTTCTATTTTCATACCACAATTTTCATTGATTTAGTATCAAGTTTCAGAATTCTTCTATGTTCTGGACATAAGACTTCATCATATAACATTTTTGCAAATACTTTCACCCAGTCTGTTGTTTTTCTTCAAGAATATTTTAAAGAATATAAACTTTAAATTTTAATGAAATCTAATTTGTTCTTTTCTTCTTTATGAATCTTTTCTCTTTGCTTCTCAGAAGCTTTGTCAGGCTTTGAGTAATTTTTTTTCCTAATGATCATATTATTGATTTGTCTTTTTCTTCATCCTTTTGTGGCTACAATTCTAGTCATCATGCTACTATGAATATCTCTCTAATTTGTAACTTCACTTCATTTTCCTTTTGAGCTACAGAAGGGAATCTAATTTCCTCCTGGATATTTTCCTCAAAACCCTGTCTATGAATTAACCTGGTCTAGAACAATATTCTCCTCATCCTCAGAAAATGAAGTCCTCACTTTCTTCAATCTGTAGGAGATTCCCTATACTCCAAGTCCTGGCTCTGCTTCTTATATTTGATCTTCATTACGGAAACACTTCCTTAGCCTATCCTCACTGAGTACAAGCTCCCTGCCCTCCTTCTCCTTTCGGACAGCCCAATTTGTTCTGTAAACAAATGTCGGGCAAACCCACCCAAAATGTCAACCACCCTGACCCCCGTGCACACACTTGTATATCAAGTGCCTAAGTAATACACGCCAATAGCTTAGACTATCACATGAAGACACAAAACATTTTTTCCTGTTCTGTGTTCCAGTGAGGCCTTCAGACCCCACAGAGTAGAGGCAGGCACATTCAGCTATTTCTCCCAACAAAACTGTCATTTCTAGGTTGGGATCTAATAAAGAACTGAAGCTAGATTATAATTATTCTATGATTTTTTAAGTGAAATGTCATTGTTTGATAAAATGAGATGCATAAATAATAGGGTTAGCTCTTAGGTATTTCTGGGTTTTGTTTCTAGTTCTGCTACTGAAATTTGTATGACCTTGGATGAATCATGTGTTTCTTTAGCTGTCGGTCCCACCATCTGTTACTCTTTTGCTGTGTTAGCAACTCTGATTTGGTGGTAAAGTACAGAAATTTTATGACAACTATATCCTTGATCATAGCCTTCATTTGGAGTACAATTTTTTTTATGTTGTTTAGGAGAAAGAGATGCATAGATATGTCTCTTCACTATAAATAAATTGATGGCTCTCCAAATATCAATCAGCACTGACAGGAAAACTGAGATAGTCATTTAACTTTCTACTCAGCTGTTCATTTATCTGTCCATATACCTTATTTGGAAGTCAACAATATTTTTCCTTCTTGCATGGAATAAAAAAAGAAAAGGACATAAGAAAGAAAGAAAGAAAGAAAGAAAGAAAGAAAGAAAGAAAGAAAGAAAGAGAGAGAAAGAAAGAAAGAGAAAATGAAATATAGGGAGAACTTCCTAGCTATTGCTGTCTTCATCTACCCTTTCTCCGAAATTCTAAATTCTACTATATGTCACCTTATTTCCTCCCACGAAGAACTATAAAATCTAAAGTTCTAATGCTACAGGCTTTCATTTTCAGTTAGTGGCTTTAGTGAGTCTGCATGCCTTTTGCCTTGAGCAGTGCACCCAAGAATTTGTACTGCGTGTTTCTGTGTATCGCGTTGCTCGTGTGCATGCAGGGTACAGTGAGCAGGTACTCCCCCATAGGTGTAAATCTTGATTAAAATGAAAGTATTAAGTGACTAAAATCATTGTCTGACAGGTGGCTTTGTGCTTGGGAAAATTGTCAATAACTGGAGTCGACATTTTCTTCCTCTAACCTTTCCCTGACAGTCACCATCATTTTGGATAGCATCTCATTCCCTTTGAGTGCTCATTTCCATCAAATGCAGTTCCAGGTGCTCTGTTTTCATTGAGAGCTACTTCACTCCCTGAGCGGAGTGTGCTGTGCTTCATCTCTGCATGCTGCTGCTCACCTCTCCAACCTTTCTTGGAAGACAAAGAGGGAGACTAATTTAACATACAATATCTCCAAAAGGATTGTATTAGCTTCATTTATTTATGGGCATCGGTTTTTAACCTATAGGTACTACTAAAGGATCCAGTCAGTGTTATTTTGTAAGAGAGAAGTTGTAAACACTGAGAATTCTCTTTGAACACTCTAGTTCTTATAAACAGAGTTCCTCATACCCTTGGCTGCAGTTTCCATCTTCCATATTTCAGTCCACCTTATTGAAAAGCTGTGAGCTCTTAGTACTTATCTTAATTTTCCTAGTGGTAAGAATTGTCAAAGAATATAATTCTGACAAACTGAAATTTAAAGATCTAGTTGGATTTTATTAATAATTCATGACCTAGGAAGCATCCAGTGTACAAAATAGAAGTTCCACTAGGGTGACAGTACCATGGGTTTTTGTAAGGTAGCTTAAACAGGAACAAAGAAATGGCATGGTGCAAAAAGCAGATTACTGTGCAACAAGCTGTTTCAGGTCACTTTCTTTGGATTGGTTAAAGTGGAGGGGACTTCTTTGTAATGCTGTTTTAGGATGACTGGGTCCATTTTAATTGATTGTTTGCAAATCTTCTATATTTTCAGAAACCATCCTGTTTAGAGATTTAACCATTATATATCTCTCTCCTAATTCTTGAAAGTTTAGAACTTACAAGTTAAATGGCTTAAATTTTGGCTTGATGACATGGAAACATAAGATACTTTATTTTTAGTTTTTTTTTAATTTTTTGAAACCCAGGCTAACTATGTAACCCAGGCTAGACTGAAACTTGTAATCTTTCTGGCTCCGCCTCTTGAATACGGGGATTACAAATGTTAAGGACCATGCCCAGCTAGAGTAACTCCATTTGAGTTGATGTTTTGGGGCCTATTTTAGGGCCTCAGTCCACGTCAATGCCTTACCATCAATTCTATTCACAGCGTAATGCCTGGCATGTGCTAGGCAACTACAATATTTTTGTTACAGGAAAGAATCCCATAAATTGAATGAGTGTACATCGCTACTCTTAATTAAATTAATTTTCAAAGTGTGTCATTTTCTATTTATACCTTAATAAAAAAATAAATTATGCATTGAAGGGAATTAGTTACTTGATTGATAATTACTACATAAATGAAATGTCTGCCATGCACATTCTCTCCAGGAAGTGGAAATCCATTGTAAAGTAGAAGTTAATAAAGAAATGAACTGGAAACATCGGAGCTGAAGAACAAAGAGAAAAAAGGTAATTCTGAAAACAAGGGACTGAGTTTGATTTGCCAAACATACACTTCAGACTAATACTCACAGACCAAGATGCTCACAAAAAGTCCAAAATAAATGAATAGCTTAGTATGTGAGTTTATTTAACTTCCACTTAAAAGTCTTATTAAGGTTGAAAAGCCTGTCAAAAGGATCTTATATGTAATATAAAATACCTGTATTCACTGATTTATTCATTGAAAACGCATTAATTTGCTGATTTCAATTTTCTTTGCTGCTGTGTTAGGCTTCTTGGAAAAATAAAGGAAACCACAGTATAGGTCAACAGTTGTAAGTTTTTAGCCCTGCTCACTTACCTACAAGGCTCTGGAGTACGCCAAGACATAATAAGAAATTGAATAGATACATAGCAAAGTGTGACAGGGTTGCAAGGAAA